AATAAAACATAAAAATAATAAAGTATTTTCTTTTGTTACTAGAAAATAACAGTTTCATAAATATTCTTTAATTGGCGTCCAATATTTTTCTTAGTAATAAGAAAATCAATCAAGCCGATTACACTAATCTATTTAATAATATTATAAAATTAAATAATAATAATTACATTAACTCTAATAATTATAATTAAACTTGCTTCGTCAAAAGCGTATTGTTAGTTGTACACAAGTAAAAATTATAGGAAAAATTATTTCATCAATAAATTATTCTAAAAATTTCAACAAGAAATTTAAAATTCATAGTTTTACGAACAATATAGAAATAGTATCGACATGGACGAATTTTAAGAAGCACTACAAATCATATTAATTGAATGTAACTAATTAATTGAAGTTATACTAGGAAACTTTGAACCTAATAAAATGATTGCGCAATGTCGAAACACAATACTTCCATTTGTTGAATTAAACATTCCAATGCAATACATTTTCACTATTTATCGACAACGCCCTTGATTTGAATTATCATTTCAATGCTGTCGCCTTAAGTCAGCGGTTTGTATTTTTTACGGTAGTTGGTATTTTGACCGAAAAAAGTACGCGAGCTGCGTGTGTTGTACATAGTATCTTGAAATGTATATTTTTTTATGGTTTTCATATATTTCTTGGAAGAGCGTTAAAAAAAAATTACTTGATATTTTTTGTAGTTTATAAATAATGTTATTATCTGAAAGCAATGCACGCATTGAATTGAATAAATCTTTTCTCTGAGTTTATACTTTTCGATTTATGTATATATGTATTGAAGTACCACATGTAAAAATTCTAATCGTATCTTATAGCGAGGAAAACCAAAAATCTTATATAAAAATCATTAGTTTTGGCTTAATCGTACAAATTCTTCGAATGATAAACGAAATCGTATTACACGTTGTACGATTAGTACCAATATCAATTAGTGTGTTTTAACCATTAAAAACGTTGAAAGATTTTTATCGACTTTTTAACAGCTAAGAGGGTTAACACTTAGATAGTGACTATTAGAGAATAACATTTAAAAATTGCATTAAAATTGTGATGTACGCTGCTTACTTATCCTAAATGAATACTTCAAAATATGAGTGTACGATAATATAATGGAAATTATATATGAAACTTGGTAAGTGTTTTATTGCAACGCGGATTACCTGATACAAAACTACATGGAAATTGTTTATATTCAATAGTTCCTTTTGACTTAACCTTATAAATGTGTCGTCAAACTGTTGAAATTTGTAAAAGTGATATTGAATTAAAAACTATAATATTAATGTATTTTATAAACGCCATGTAGTCGAAGTTAAAATTTATAGACCTAAGTCTTTTATTCTAACAGCGGTAAATGATTAAAGAAATGATAAGAAGTTTGGGTCTTATAGTCATTAGATTATTAATGTTAGGTAAAGACATGTTACATTAAACTACTGCACAAGTGAATAGACCTAAATAACGCTATCTCGTGGAAAATGATTTTATGTCCGTGAAAATTTTTAAATTTGAAAACCTTTTAAAATTTGAATTAAAAGTTACATCAATTAAAACATTTAATTTTTCCAACTTTAAATAAATGTAGACATTTTTTACGGAAGTCAGTACAATGAAAACAAGTAAAAAATACATATACAATAATTGCTCAACTATAATACGTTGTAATTTAAAAATTATTGAACGCACATTGTATTAAAAAAAATATTTCATCTTAAATTTTGAAAAAGTTGTTATCTTGCTTTTTATTTAAAAAATTATGAGCTCCGAGTGTATAGTAACATATTAATTCTGAGACTGTCATACGTGACACGTGCGTGTGCGATTCCAGAAGAATGGTTACTGAATATTTGATTTCAACTTTTTTTCCTAACACTTTCACATTGAAACACAAGATGGCAACGGTTATTTATATTTTAGTTTAATATTTCACTTCTACATCAGTGTAACTCGTACGCTTCAACTAAAATATTACCGTACAAAGTATCATGCACATTATACAATTTATATAAGAACAAATGTTTGTGTAGTAGTAATCAATTGCTCTTTGCTGATTCTGTGTATGACAACATCTGTTTCAGTTTTCCGTCGATACACACTACTGTTATTCCACTGAACATTGCTTCATATTTATATGTTTGTTATCTTAAAGAGGTTTTTCCATCATTGATATCGGAAATAATAATACACTGAATGTGCACGCATTTCGGCGTGTATGATAAAATATGAAATATGTCTTGTTCGCATGCCTATAAAATATCGCGTTCGTTCAAACTCGAAATCTTTTTACCCTTAACACTTTTAAGGACTCAAGATCCGGAGGAAACTTTATCCGAAAAAATGTGATAGCATGGGAACACCGTACGGAGGGTACAAAACGAGTATTATTCCCAAGCCAAATCTCGGCGTTTAATGCTTGTTTGTCGTGTGACATATAAAAAGTTCGGTTTTTATAAGCTTTTATTAAAATGTAATTTTATTTGCATGGTTTAAAGGTGCGTACATGAACGCGATCGGCAATCAAACCATCAAAATATTATTGCTGTTATATTCGAACGATAACCCCGGCCGTCAATGCGCTACCATTCCCCAGGGACAGTTGACAAAATTACAGAAAATTCATGAAACACCATTGAACCCCATTGTGAATTATTATAATACCGAGTCTCGTCATTGCGGCGACTCGTTTATGAGTTTCCGGAAAGACGACGTATCATCCAACGAACTTTTTATTGCGCCGCTATTCGTCACTATTATGTTTTTTACTTGGAAAAATGCTGGAAACGCATTACGACTCAATTGTTGAAATACCCGTAACTCAATTATTATTGTCGTGAAAAAATAATAAATATTAAGCCTTTATTTTTTATCCTTTTTGACAATTGAAGTATATAAAATCTGGTTAATGGCTGTTTTCGCATTTGGCATTTTACTTTTGAATTCACAACAATGACACGGAATTCGTAACGTTAAAAAAACAATTGTACATATTGATTGTACAACACCCCAAATTTTTTCTCTTTTTTACGAAGAACTCCTGTGAACATATGCGAGTTGTACTCGTATTTACACGGCTTACAGACTAGTTCTATTGTCCGGACCTGCCATGGCGCTTTGGTATTTTAAAATAAAAATGTCAACAGCATACAACAAACGAAATCGACTTATTTCACTCTTATCACAAGCCGAAAATTCTTTACACGCCTTTGACAAGTTGACGCACATTTTATTTTTAGATTTATTAATATTTCCATTTACAAATTCGTAGAATTCATAGATACGGTTTATTGAACTTCCATTTACACTTTAAGTTGTAACTCATTTTATAGTTTCACTTTCAATTTTATGGTAACTATGCAAATTCTGTCACAATTTTTCTTTTTCAAACATGATACTTGACGGTCTGTGTGAATGTTAACCAACGCAACACCAAATAATTTTCAAAAGTGATAGCGCGTTTATTTTTTAAGTTTTAAATTATACGCCGGAGGATACGATTTAAGAAACTAAAAAGTCTTTGTAGATTTGACACAACTTTAGTGTCAAAAGATTCAAATGCGGCGTTTATTCGTGTAAAATGTCAAAACCAGTATTCATATTATCTATCAGAGTTATTATTTTTTCCTGCAATCTTGTAAAATTTTACAGAGAGTAATACTAAAAATTCGTCAAAATAAAGTAGTGTCTACGAATATATAATTTTTTAATTTAAATTTATTTCGTCAAAGTCCTAACGTAAACTACATGTAATTTAAACTTGTAATAAAAAAACTCAACAGGGTATAATATTGTTTCGCTTTTATTTTCTGTCAACGCAAACGTCACGCGGTAAGCTTTAGTTGGAACACTTTTGTAACGTTATCATAAGTCATATTATATTATATAAATACTGCTAAACAATGATTGCTTACGTATAATCAACATGGCCTGTTGTATTTAAATAACACGCAACGAGAGATTAAGTGAAATGTAATACATGAGTAATTTTTTGATTCATTAAAAACAACTTGAGTAGAAACATTGTACTTTTTCAATGTATCAGAAATACAAGTAAGTAATAATTCTATATCAAAGTTATTTATGATACCATTATAAAATTTCCATTGTTAGCCGAATAAAAATCTATTGCTCGTATTACCGTATATAAATAATGTTTAATATTAAATAAAAGTTCCCCTGTGGTTTTATTTAATGGGTCACGAGGTCAACTTTTAATATGGTTGGGCGAATAACATGTCATTATTCCTAGAAAATGGGTTAAATCTCTAATGCTATGTTGTAGCATTACCGAAATACTTAAGTATATTTAATGTAGCATGTTTGGAATACCTACGCGCAACACGTTTTACATTAAAAGCTGTATAAATATACACTAGGACATATTTAAGGAGGGAAAAATTTTGTAATAAAAACTAGTGGAATTATTTTAGGTTTTGTTGAGAGCGAAAATTTTGCGTTGTAACCCAATCAGGTCGCATTAAGAGGTTAAATTTCTTAATTAGAAACAATTTATATATAGTGTGAGTACACGTTAAAACAATAAATCTCTTTAGTTACCGGACCACCAGAGTAGTATTTTATTGCACCGTTGTTAAAAATAATGTTAAAAAAAAAATCTATTTAAAATATGAATAAAGACTTAAACATTCAACGTTTAAAATGTTCTATACGATCACTATAAATGTTGACATTTTTAGTGTTTTCAACACGTTTGAATCTGTTCATCGAGATAAAAAAAAATAAGATAAATCTAAATCTGAACAATAACCGTTTTAACGCATAAGTTTTATTGGAACGATATTTAGCAAAGAAGGGGCATATTTATAAAATATGATAATTTTATGCATGTAATAACATATTAATAATGCAAGTTATTGGATGTACCTTTCGTTTTATAAAGTTTTGTTTGTAATGAAATTACGAAAACGTTTACAAAAAGTACTTACGAGGGGTTCTGTTAACCTACGGGTGTAACATTCTAATTTTCAAAAACACTATACTGATTAATGCACGTTTATATGCAAACTCTCATTTATCCTACTATAATAAAAATATTTTAGGATTTTTTTTTTCATTTAAATTTTGACGCTTTTAATACGCAAAAAAAGCTTTTAGTAACCGACCGGGGAATTGAACGTAGTAAGCAATGGCGAACATGATAGATGAATATTTACAGTCATTGTTCAAATACACAAATGACGTCGCATTTTTGCGTCGCACATACACTTTATAAAACAGAAAATTGCGTATAACACGTGATTTTGAGTACATACACTTCACGTCAGTTGTGATGGTTTCTTTTAGATAAAATACAATCGCCGTCCATGTTCGAATGCTCGTGTAAAGCCAAGTGTTTGTTTTAGGTTCTAAGAAATAAGAACTGACAAACCAATGTGATCCGATTGATGTCGGTAAGCAGTAAATATACATATTATTGAGCCCGGTTTCAAAGGATAAATAAATGCCATATAAAAACTAATGCTAGTGATTTTTTCTTGTAGAACTGTGTGGGATCAACGTATTACTCTAAATCATATTTTATAGTAACACTCGCATGTGCGCTAATAACACAAGTTAAACGTTGAGGTGCGTTTTGACAAACGTTTTCAAAGAACTTAAGAATACTATCACATTGTTGAAATCATAAACTCAGTTTAACCCTACGTTTTTAATTAAAATAATATTTTTATTGGTCATGTGTGATACGTGATTAGTTATAGCGTATCGGATTTCATTTAATTATCGACGATCAACTGTATTATGCACATCATACCTATGCCAAAATTAATTAATAACCATTTTATGGGTATAGTTTTTCAAGAACTAGTCACATTTTATTTTCGAACGTGTTTTTCAGTATGCTGCGGATTAATTTAGGTATCATTAATTCGGTTACTATAAATAAAATAAGAAAGACTATACAAAAAAGTATTGGCTGTAACTTTATTAAATTTATCGCTTTGGCAAAAATTAAAAAATAAATATTTTCATATAATTCCCATCAAAATATTTTCCCCACATAAACAAAGCATTGTTTTTACGCTGATATTCAATATTTTTTGCATATTAAAACGCACAATAGTGTTATTAAAATGTTTTGACTAATAGATGTTTTGATATGATAGTGTAGACAGTAGAAAAATATTTGGAAAAAATAGTTTCATAACGAAAGTGGTTAATCTGAATTTTTTATTTACGTATTTAACTTAATGACGGTTTTTAGTGAACTGACGAACGGATTTATAATTCAGCAAAAAATCAACATTAACTGATGTTATCATAACTTGAATGTTATAGTGAAGTGAATCCATTTTACACTCGACTTATTAAATATTTATCAAAATAAGAACTTTGCTATTGTTTTTCAGAATTAATATACGCTTAAATTTAAGAATTTATAAAATGGTTATATTCATTTAATAGTCTTAAATGTAATAAAAAATGATAGCTATCTTGGCATAAGTATTTCATAAGATGAATATATATTTTTTGTATGAACAACGTGTACAATGAAAAACTATCGCTCGACTGAAGGAAATGACTATCCTAAGTTTTATCTATTGTACCGACCGCCTGTTTAAATAGTGAATTGTAATTGCTTTCTTTAGTTTTATTTAACTTTTAACATTATTATTTTTCTTTTATAAATGATATTAAGGCGTTAAGATTTTAGGAAAGTATATTATATGTACATACTAAAGTATTCAATACTATATATACATTCGAATTCATAGCGAACAATTAAAATCTGTACATAAATTTTTAATATTTTGAGAGCCAAGACTATTTATTAATATCAAAAAATTTTATTTTATGAATAAAACTGTAGAAAATTGATTTGTTTTTTCGCACACTACGTTTTCAAGTTTTTAAAGACAAATATATCGTTTCAAATAGTCGTCATGACAAATATTTGTATTTGATAAATAATTCGAGCTCTTAGTTAGTTGTAAAACAATTGTAATCATTACATTTGTATGTACTTTCTCTTTGTAGTCAGGACTTCTAAAACTTCCTAGGACTAATGAAATACTTAGATCCAATTACTATACCTGTCAAATGGTGTTTTTTTTTTATAAAATTACTATTTTTAGTTTGAGCAATTATTTTGTTAAGATATTTTTGAAAAATTGATAAAATTTGTGACAACTTTGTTTCTCAAAAATACTAACTGGATAACTCAATATTGCCTAATTATTTCATAATTTAGTAATAAATTGTTGGTGCTTTACTTGAAAAGCCAATTAGTTTTGAATATTTGAAAAAAAATTTTTCCTTCGTAGTTTTGCTGTTAATAAAAAAATTACAATTTAAAAACCCAAGATAAAGCCTGGAATTAATTTCCAAATCAAAAAATTGTACAATTGTAATTCCGCTGTGTGCCATAAAATAAGATCGATTATTAAAATATAAATTTGTTCACCATTCGATTTTAAAAAAATCTCACGTACTTAGCGCACTGTTTAGTTGTCATTCTTAATGATATGCGTTTCTTAAATTAAATTTAAAATAATTCCTTTATAATTTTAATTTAAGAAATTTGATATTTAAAATTTGTTTTATTAAAGACTTATTATTATATATAGATTTTTTTCAAAACGACAATAGAGAAAACGTATTAAAGTAATTCATTGATTAGTAAAAAGAAAATTCATTTATATTTCTATCTTATCATTTGCTAAAAATGATTATTCAATATAATATTCAATGTCCATAATGGACACTCGTTTTTAAAATCGTTATTTTATTCTTGGATAAACAAATTAAAATTTGAATTGGACATAACTTATTTATAAAAACGAATAATGGTCGTAGATGTTAAATTATACTATTTGTACCAATGTCTGAATTATTTGTTAAACATTAATTAAGTTTGTTGTTCTCGTGGCAAAAGTTAAATGTACTAGAAAAGATAAGTTGGAGATTGTCATATCCAAAAACTTAGTCGTTCTTAAAATTATTAATATGCAAATAATATGAATTATATAATTTATAATGAAACACTCTAATAGTAATAAAACTGAATTAATTAATTTGCATAGTGATGTAATATCCAACAAAAAATGAGTAGATACGCTTGTTCTATTAAAATATTATCATGCTGAATCAATGGTGTATATGATGAAAAAACGATTAAACTTTGGTAAAATGCTTAATAAAAACCACATTTTTTGATAAATTTAATAACATTAATTTTATAATCTGTATATGTCAAATTGTTTAAAAAACAATAATATTAACAAAACGAAATAGCAGAAAAATGTTTAATCTTAATAACATTTTCGTACACTTTGTGACTACTTTTATTGTAGACTAAAAAATACTTTTTTTGTATTGTTGTGTATACAAGGTTGTATGATAAGTTAAAAACTATTTTTTAAAATTGTACAGTTTTTTTTTATTACAACCACTATGCTGAGCGTTTCTCATAAAATATTATTTTATTTTTCGTGAACACTTTTATTTTGAAATATATTGAATTTGAAATAAATAAATTTATGGAAATTGTGTACTACAAATACATTCAAGTAAAATAATTTTCCCATAAATGTAACTTACCTCGTCTGCAGTTAATTTCCTTTGATGGCGCTGGATGTTTTAGGTGTACTGTGAGGTAGGATGATATTTTGAGGTGTATAAGTGATATGGTGGTGAATGGCAACACGAATTGGGCGACTGCCAAGCACACTGTGAATGATTGTTGTGCTACCCGAGACGGCCACTTTTCTATACACGCTTCGTACAAATGAACCGGACCAACCTGAACCACTTCAATGTGCTGATATAACAATAGTGGGACCATAGTTGCAAATGACACCAACCAAATGAGCATCAACGATTTGGCCACGCTGCATCGAAAAATTGAACCTCTAGGGTTTCGAACGATTGTGAAGTACCTGCGAAAATTATTTTCAATTAAACTTTGACGATGAAACTTCAAAAGTATACCTCTTTTAAAATTATATAAAATTGTGCAGACTGCTTTTTACTTTTTATCAAATAATAAATTCAAAAATACTATTATGAGTATTGTAATAAAAATAACAATAGCGAAGACTCCATAGGTTAATTGGACTGACAAAACAAATTATAGAAATAGTTTTTGATTAATTTCGGGTTCGAGTTTTAAAGGCAACTTTATTTAGAACATTATTCAAAACAGGTTTGACCATATTTTCTGGTTCCTGGCTTGTTTCATGTCACAACAACTCTAAATTAATGCACACGTTTAATTATTTCATTTTTTTAGAACTATTTTTTGCCAATGCTTGGAAATCTATCGCTTCGTTTCGTATGTAAAAAAAATTTAACATAGTCGATAGACGGGAATTAACGAGTAATTATCAACAGTTACAAACGAATGCGATTATGCAAAATTCCTAATATAGTTAAAATTTCGACATAGTATATTATAGTCTACAATTGTTAAACACAAGTTACTTATTAAATAAAAGCCTTAAATATTAGCCCTAATAATATAACCAATGATACACAATATCAATAACATATTTTGTTGACAATTTTGCTTCAGTGATTATTTTTTATAGTAATTAAATCGCTGAAATATTGTTCCCTCGCTTAAAGAAATTATAATAATTATAGTATTTTTTTTTTTTTGTAAAAGTTGCGACTTTTTTTACTTGACGGCCGATTACTTACAGTAGAACAATTATGGAATGGATTTTTTTTTAAACTATAATACACTTCAAAAACTTTAATTTTGATATCGGTATAAAGAATGCGAACATTCCTGATCATTTTCAAAAATTCAGTAAAAAAAAATTATTATAAGCGTGGTGGTCTCATTGAATCCTTTCCTGTAGTCAGGTTTTTAATTGGTTTTTCGTTAAAAAAGATCTAGAACGCAAATAAAATAATTATTAAAGATCCCATTTTTTAGGCTATCATAATTTTCAGTTATTTTTTTATTTTTAAAATTGATAGTGTTTATGGTGCTGATAGACATAACTAATTTAAATTTGACTTCTTTTATCGCATATATCAACAAAAACGGACATATGAAAGCTAAGATCTTTCATGGACAGACATGACTAAAAACTCACACCATCATAAAACCAATACCTTTTTAGCTTTGTATCAAAGCTAGAAATAGTTCACTATAGTTTTTCAGTTTATATTTTTGAAAAATGTATACAATACGATGGTCAGTATTTATGAACCAGTATTTCGGAAGTTATTAACATTTTCTAAATGTATACTGAAAGTGTAGTGTATTTCTCTAATGCGATACTTCTCCCACCTCCTTGAAGTATAACCTCGGCAACAACACATTACAATATATAGTTAAGAGTAACTAAAAAAAATTTTATATTTTTATTCTCCAAGAATTATAATAACGACCTGTATAATTATCACTATTAGATATTTATCAAACAATTTTATGATTTTACCAACCCATTTAATTTCAAATTATTTACTTGACAAATTTATTTGTCGTTTGTTTGTTATTTTGTTAAAAAATATAGATATTTATTTATTTCTATGCACACAAAAGTGCATGATTTTTGACATATTTTAGAATTTTCCCTAGATTAGTAACTTATAATAAATTACCAAACCATTGGCTGATAATATTTTTGGGATATCTGTATATTTTAATTTTTATGTTATTATTTTTATAAATTGATGAGTTTTTGAAGAGAACAATTTTGTTAGATTTTCTTGGTTCTTTTTATTTGATGACAGCTATAGGTGTCATTTTTTTCTTTCATGATTTATGTATAAATTATCAAAAAAAAAAAGAAAGGACAGCGTCTTTTTATCGGTTAGATATCGTGAAAATCATAACTGAGAATGAAAAATTTAAAAAAAAAATACTCAGCAAGGATCATTCTTAGGATTTTTTTCTAAGGTGGATTTACTCAACGAAACTTTTTACTGCCATTTCCAAATAAAAATAAAATACATTTTCACCGCATATTTTATTTTATTGTTGAGACTTATGCCCAATATTCCTACCGCATGAGAAAGTCTATTATTTTAGCATTATTACTTACTTCTTCATCGACAGAGACACATTGTCACTTAAAGCAAAATATTAAATTTAAAATTAGTAACCATACTTTACTATAGTATTTACATTTATTAAATCTACTTTACAGTATTTACTTTATTAATTTTCAGATATAAAATCACTTTTAAAGCCTTAACCAAACTAATAATTGGACCAATACATTTTTTGTTCGGTTAATTTCGGTTTTTAAACTTTTTTAAAGTCAATAAATAATTCAAATTCAATTAAGATTTCAAAGTGGCCTTATAATAATGTTGGATTCTACAATCACTTTTTTAACATATACCAAAAAAATTCCATATAGATAAACTAATTTACTATATATAAGAATTTTGAAAATTATTTCGGTTTCTAGTCCTAATTTAATGAATTTTTTAGATTAGAAAATGTGCTATATTCAGCATTATTAATAATTAAAATATTCATTGTTGTAGTGGTAAAATAGATTTTAAAAAGATAATTTATTTATCTATCTGAAATAATAAATCAAGATATATATAAAATTTCTCATAGAATGTCTCAAAAAGTCAATTCATATTGACATTCGAAAATATTTTGTTATTGATTTCTGTCTTGTCAAATTCGTTTAGTATTTCAGTTACTAGTTATTTGTTGCAAACAATATATAATAATGTATTTTTTTAAATAATTCCTTCTTAAAATACTATTGAAATTCCATGTAAGAAATTTAATAAAATCGATCTATTATTGTGAAATTTATAGAAAAATGAATAAAAGTTTTCTTTATAGAGTTGTAATTGAACGTACATTTTGTAAAAATTTTAATTTTGATTTAAACTACGTAACTTATATAGAAGGTTATAATTATTTTTTTTAATAGAGCATAATTTGGTTTGAAATATTAAAACATGATTCTTATAAAAATATATACATATATTTGTTTTTAAGCAAGTCAAAACCTAATTCCTAATTACCTCAAAAAAAAAAAGTTGATATATAAATAACTTTTTTTTTATAACTTAAACAGAATTTGGCTTTTTATGTCTAATCAATGGAAAAAATTTTAAAATATCACATGTATTGTTAGGACTAATCATAGTTAAATTGACAGTTGTAATTAATCTTTATAATTGTTTACTTAAAAGCTTACTGCCTAATAAATTTACTCGGAGTTTATAAACGCTGAGTAAGGTATAAATATTTTATATGTATAATTAGTATTAGCCATTGACAGAATTAAAAAACAAGCTTAACACTTATTTAATTTGTTGTGTTAATTAAAATGTTGAGATAAAACTATGCCCAGAAAAAATTTATTGAAAAAAATATATCTTAATACTTTATCTATATGTAGTCTGTGATTTACCAAAAACCACAAAAACAGTATTACTATTTAAGTTTCTGTCAATGTACTTTTTGATAAAACTATTGCATTATTGTTAATTTATATATTTATCATAAATTTATCGCTTAACATAAAAATATTTTTTCTACTGCAATATAATGTAGCTTAATATTATAAATCATTTATTTTTATGTATTATTGATCAAACTTCAAATAACACTTCATTTTTCAGTTTGACTAAAAAAAATATTACGTACGTTGTTAATCGATAAAAATGTTTATACAGAATTGAACCATAATTTATATAGATTGAATAGTAAGAATAAATATGAAAGGATATATTAACTATAAATAATATAATATTATTCAATTTATACATTTTTTTAACGTCATATAGTATCTTAAGTATTTTTAGCGAACAATTTATTTAAATTTTAATTATTCCTCTTTTAGTTGGAAACATAATACTTAATGCGTTATTTTTTAGATATTTGTATCATTTTATGATTGTGAAATAGTAGGTCAAACAAACGGTATTCAAATGTATTTTTCATTTAAATTGTTTTATAAAAAATAATATTGTATTCTAGAAGAAATTAAATAGATAGAGCAGTGTCTCTGCGACCTGATTTAATTCCTTCATAACTTTAACCCAAGAAATGTCAATTGTTATTTTGAATTAAAGTCAATATCATCAGGTTTCTTTTACGATTTTCTTTGGAAGTTATAGTAAATTAATTGCATAAATACTAAATGAATGTGTTGTTTTTACATCAGCAAAAAATTTATAATTTATAATTTGTATTTTGATATTTTATCAAAGTTCATTTCAAAAAAAGAAAAAATGTCCTATTTTCTAATGGAAAATTAATATATTATCTTAAATATTATGATAAACATCAATATGAAAACAATTTTATTCAATAGAATTTGCTAAATTGCAAATATCGTTTGATTGAAAAATACATATTAATTGAGAATTTATTAAAAAAAATTAAACTGTTTATTTTTATTCGTCATAAAATGAATGTGTTGTTCTCTAGATTATTTGAACATAATAGTATAAGTTTAGCAAAATGCTCATTCGTTTCTTTATAAACACAATATAAAATTTTAAGTTCATATCAGTTGTTTTTCGTAGGATTTTCAATTTATTTTAAGAAATACAAGTATGTAGTTTAATTGCCTATATAGGACGCCGGCAAAACACTTTAAGCGCTAAGCTTTATTTTAAAAGACAATTAGATATGTAGTATTGTCAATGAGTAGAACAGTTATCACACTTGAAAAATAAATATCATTCCAACATTGACTTATGTATTCAAAATGACAATAAAAACAAATAAATGCTTTTTAATTAAAATTAATTTGTTTATGACAGCTAATTACAAAAAATCTGTTCAATGAGGTATGGTTTAAAATATAGTTAACTACTGTTTATGAGAACATTCAATACAGATGATAATAAAATAAGAGTATAAAGATTTTTTAGATAATATAATAAGTTATTTAAAATTTAATATTTTTTTAACAACATATTAGTGAAAAAACACATTTGGATGATTTAGAAAAAATTCTGAGAATAAAAACTGCAAAGAACATAGTTTGTAAGTGAAATGGTTTCGTAATTACTTTTAGCTTTTGTTAAAAAAATGATTATTAAATACTATTTGAAAC